CACAGCAACCTCAAACTCTTGGGCTCAAGCAATTCTCTTGCCTTAGCATCCCAAGTAGCTGGGACTATAGGCGCCTGCCACAACACCTGGCTATTTTTAGAGATGAGGTCTTGCTCTTGCTCAGGCTGGTCTTGAACTCCTGAGCTCAGGCAATCCACCCACCGCCACCTCCCAGAGTGCTAGGATTACTCCCTCCTGGTCTCCTGCCAAGTTCTTTTAAGTACACTACTTTTCAGGCTGGTGCCCTCTGTGCTAGAGGCTGACCCTTGTACAGGACACAGCTTTTTGCAGTACCCATACATTCTATTACTTCCTGTTATTGAGACCAAGCAAGGGGTTTCTTTCATCAAGGAGTGTCTCCTGTGGTTCATACATGCTGTCAAAGCCATTCATTTTCAGTTCCTGCTGTTCCCTTTAGAGACTCTCCACACCTAAAAATCCACCCACATCAGATGATGTTTGAATTTCCTTTCCAGCAGTAACGGAAAGAAAATGGACTCTGTTCTGAAAGGTTCTGAGCAAATCTGAGGACCCTTTACTGAGCCTGCATCTGCAATCTGTCCTCAGAGTAAACAGGCTGTGGGAGGTACCATGACTTTGGAGAAGGGATTCATGTCCAGTCTGTTCCTTTTGTCTTGCATAAGGCTCCTTCTCTAAATGCTATGAGTCCCAACGGCTAGAAACAAAGACCAGGGAGGATTCTGACTGGGGCCCTCTCAGCAAACATCCTTCCTTCATTTGGTAGCCACGGCTAGCTTCTTCTAGGCAGGGAGCACAATAGAGTGTGAGGATGGATAAACAAGCGAGGTCCACTCTTAAGCAGGACGTGGAATAGTGACTAGAACTGATTTTAGCAGTGGAGAAAACTTTTTAAACAGGGGGCCAGTTCACTGTCCCTCAGACCTTTGGAGGGCCGGACTGCGGCCCCGGGACGAGTGAACTACTAAGCAGCGGCAGCAAAAACACCCGGCGGACCAGATAAATGTCCGAGGTGGGCCGCATGTGGCCCGCGGGCTGGGCTGTAGTTTGAGGACGCCTAGTTATAGGGAGTGGCTTAGAGGAAGACTGGGAGCTCTGATGAGTGGGTGGGGGGAGACCTGAAGAGGAGCAGGGACTCGGAGGAGATGTGAGAAATGCCGCAGGACGGGCGTGCGAAGGGAGAGATGGGTGGGAGGCGAGGGCCCCTGAACCTCAGAAGTGCTGGTATTGCTTTCCCACACGCTACGGGACTGTGGACTGGAGAAGCGCTGTTGCCTTGGCAACCCCCAACCGAGTTCTGGGCCTTTGAGAGGGCTGTTCGGGGCGTGTCCTGAGGACAGTGCGCGGCTCCGGTTGGCTAACAGCGCCGGAGGGGTGTAACTATGGGTGGTGCAAGACGGCGGTTGACTGGCGGCGTGAGCTGGCGCGAGTGCGGATCTGAGACCGCGGCCGTTGGCTGAGGAGCCCCTCCCGCACCGAGTGCTCCAGGTCCGGGAGCTACTCCTCAGCGCCCGCCTGGTACCGCCGCTGATGGATGTCCCGCCGCTCCCCGCGCCGCCGCCTTCCGCCCCGCGCTGCCCGCCGGGTACCGACACGAGCGACGTCCTGCAACAAATTATGGCCATCACTAACCAGAGCCTGGACGAAGCGCAGGCCAGGTATTGCCCGCGGGCTAGGCCGGGGCCGAGCCGACTCGAGCAGAGATGCAGGCGGCGCAGGGAAAGGGGCTGGGGCGGCGGGGGCGGGGTGGGGCCGTCGGCTGACGGGGAGTGTTTGCGAAGGCCTAGAGGGGATCTCCAAGGACGAAGGATGTTTGGGGTTAAAATGGGACGGGTTGGACAGGCCTTATGGGAAGTCTCTGGACAAGGGGGTTTGGGAGTTTATGACAGAGATAAGAGATGGGTACACACGGGACTTTTGAGGAGTGAACGACTAAATAGTAGGGTTAATGGGTTCATGGGACTTAAGCGAGTGGGAAGTTTTTTTGTTTTTTTGTTTTTTTGTTTTTTAAGACAGAATGTCTGAGTTGCCCAGGCTAGAGTGCTGTGGCATCAGCCTAGCTCACAGCAACCTTAAACTCCTGGGCTCAAGTAATCCTCCTGCCTCAGCCTCCCAAGTAGGGCACTATGGGTGCCGCCTCAATGCCCACCTACTTTTTCTATTTTTAGTAGAGACAGGCTGATCTCCAGCTCCTGACCTCCAGGTGATGCCATCCACTGTTACCCTAAATAACCATTACATACTACTGGACCGGCCCTGGCAGGGCCAGATGAACCCATGTGCTACTTACTATCTGGAGTTACTTATCCTCCTAAAAGGCCTTCTATTATAGATAAATTTAAAAACACTGAACACTCTGAAGACCATAGTGCCAAAGATCCAGTATACAAGGAATAGGGGGCAATGGCTCATACCTGTAATCCTAGTGCTCTAGGGAGGCTGAGGTGGGTGGATTGCTTGAGCTCCAGAGTTTGAGACCAGCCTGAGCAAGAGGGAAACCCAGTCTTTAAAAATAGCTGGGCATTGTGGTAGGCTCTGAGGCAAGAGGATCTCTTGAGCCCAAGAGTTTGAAGTTGCTGTGAGCTATGACACCATGGCACTCTACTCAGGGTGACAAAGGGAGGCTCTGTCTCAGAAACAAAATATACGAAGTATACTTAATAATGCACTTAGTAAAATAATGACTATAAAGTAAGAATTATGTTAAAAAAATAACCATTTTAAAATAAGGAGATATAGGCTCGGTGCCCGTAGCATAGTTTATGGTGCCAGCCACATACACTGAGGCTAATGAGCTCAAGCCCCACCCAGGCCAGCTAAGCAACAATGACAACTACAACAGAAAATAGCTGGGCATTGTGGTGGGCACCCATAGTCTGTGCTACTTGGGAGGCTAAAGCAAGAGAATCGCTTAAGCCCAAGAGTTTGATGTTGCTGTGAGCTGTGATGCCACAGCACTCTACCCAAGGCAATGTAGTGAGACTCTGTCTCAAAAAATAAAATAAAATAAGGAGATATTGTATAACCTTATAACCTATAGAAAATCTGTTTAATATATATTATAACAAATAATAACATTACTAATGTTTACTTTTACTGTGAAAATTAAAAATAACAAAAATTCCCCAAACGACAGAATAGCTCTTTAAAAAGATATCCTCACTGTTTTCCAGAATTGCTAGCTTTTCTATAAGTAAAAGCAAAACTATTGGGCAGTGCCTGTAGCTCAGCGGGTAAGGGCGCCGGCCACATACACCACATTGGCAGGTTCAAACCCAGCCTGGGCTAGCTAAAACAACAAAGACAACTGCAACAACAACAACAAGAAAAAGAAAATTGCCAGGTGTTGTGCTGGGCGCCTATAGTCCCAGCTACTTGGGAGGCTGAGGCAAGAGAATCACTTAAACCCAAGAGTTTGAGGTTGCTGTGAGCTATGACACTACAGCACTCTACCAAGGGTGACTAAGTGAGACTGTCTCAAAAAAAAAAAAAAAAGTAAAACTGTTGATATTTCATCCACTTCTCCATTAATTGATTTCGATGACAAGCAGACAGACTTCTTGGTCCAACAACATATTTTGGTGACCATAAAGGAACCATCAGCTGGGCGGCATGTTGCCTAGGGCCCTGAGGATCTGCTTGGACAGGTGAGACCAGAGGTGCCCTCCCTTTGTATTCCTAGGGTTGTGCACAATATGAGGCATCTAGCGTTCAGTAAAGTTCTGTGGCACTGAGGAGGTTCTGGAAGGATTAATAGGAGCTGGAGGAGGGGGGAGACGGGCTCTTTATACCCAGGAATGTCCCCACAGAGGCAGTGCCTTGGGTGTGTCCTGAGAGCTGCCCATGTTCCTTCTAGTCAGAGCAGAAATAGCTTAAAGGGTAAGCTCCACTCAGATATGGCCTTCCTCAGGCATTTGTGACCTAGCATAGCTCCTAGGCTACTGCTTTTTTCCTACAGCAAACTCCTGAGATTCTGGTTGGCCCTTGAGAGGCTTTAGAATGGAATGTCGTTGATCACCTCTTCCTTATTATTTTGGAAGACAGCTCTTTTTTTTTTTTTATTAGACAAATTCTTGATCTGTTGCCCAAAATAGAGTGCAGTGGCATCATCGTAGCTCACTGCAATCTCAAACTCCTGGACTCAAGCAGTCCTCCTGCCTCAGCTTCCCAAATAGGCTGAGATTACAGGTGTGTGCCACCATACCTGCTGATTTTTCTGTGCTTAGTAGAGACAAGGTCTTGTTCTTGCTCAGGCTGTCTCAACCTCCTGACCTCAAGGAATCCCCCCTCTTTGGCTTCCCAGAGTGTTAGGATTACAAGCATGGATCACCACAACAGGCTAATACAGCTCTTTCTGATTTAAGTCTAAGAAATGAAATACCAGGTTGAGGAAAGTGGGGGAGGGATTATTCATGCTTGATACTGGAGCTATTTAGTAGCTGGTTCCTGGCTTCTTGATGAGGTGGGGAGACCCCTGGGTTCCTTCACCGTCTTAGGCCCTAGCCTTTAGGTGTGAACTCAAGACTCTAAAGCAGGCGTCCTCAAACTACAGCCCATGGACCACATGCAGCCCGCCAAGGACATTTATGCGGCCAGTCTGGTGTTTTTGCCGCCACTGCCTGTCCTGCTTAGCAGCTGACTCGTCCCGGCGCCCACAGTCCGGCCGCTCAATGGTCTGAGGGACAGTGAACTGACCCCCTGTTTAAAAAGTTTGAGGACCCCTGCTCTAAAGGTCACCTGAGTTCAGACAACCTGTCTTCAGTCCCCAGGTAGTTCTCTTACTTCACTCTGGAGAAAACAAAGCTTGGAGTCTTTTCCTCACAGTTAACTCTGTAGCCTGGTAGATTATCAACCTGGGAGGGGAAGCAGATTGTGTCTCTCTTAACTGACCAAGTGAAGCTTTTGCAAGCCGTTTTGACCCTGCCCTTTTTCAACATGCCTAAGAATCCCTTTCATAACCCCTGGAGTCAATTCACCTCAACTGTGTAGCAAGAAAGAATTTTTCATCTCAGATGTGAGGCCCTCTCAACCTGTTTCATCACCAGAAGTATGTTTAAAGAAGGAAAATATACCTCTCTTCTTAAACATGCATTTTTTTTTTTAAGAGACAGAGTCTTACTCTCAGTAGAGCGCTGTAGTATCACAGCTCACAGCAACCTCCAGCTCTTGGGCCCAGGTGATTCTCTTGCCTCAGCCTCCCGAGTAGCTGGGACACAGGCATCTGCCACAACACCTGGCTATTTTTTGGTTGTAGTTGTCATTGTTGTTCAGGAGGCCCAGGGTGCTGGATTTGAACCCGCTAGCTCCAGTGTATGTGGCTGGTGCTCTAGCAGCTGACCTACAGGCGCCAAGCTTTTTTTTTTTTTTTTTTGAGACCCATCTCTGTCACCCTGGATAGAGTGCCCTGGCTTCATAGCTCACAGCAACCTCAAACTACTGGGTTCAAGTGATCCACTTACCTCAGCCTCCCAAGTAGCTGGGACTGTAGGTACCTACCACAACACCCAGCTAGTTTTTCTATTTTTAGCAGAGATGGGATCTTGCTCTTAATTAGACTGGTGTTGAACTCCTGAGCTCAAGCAAGCCACCCACCTCAGCCTCCTAGAGTGCTAGGATTATAGGTTTTAGCCTCTGTGCCTGGTTATTTCATATGCTTCTGTCAACCACCTTTATGTGTGATTTATGAAAATTATCAGTCTAGGGTAACGTATCTGTCAGGGCTATCAGGCTCTAAAGTTCTCCCCCCTAAAATTCTTTGACTAAAGCTGGAAATTTCTGAGGGTTGATTTTTAGAAACCGGATAGAAACAGGAAGCAGGCTTGGCACTGTAACAGAGTGGTTCTGGTGCCAGCCACATGCACTGAGGTTGGTAGGTAGGTTCAACTCTGGCTCAGGCCTCCTAAACAACAATGACAAGTGCAATAAGAAAATAGCCAGGCATTCTGGTGAGTGCCTGTAGTCCCAGCTACTTGGGAGGCTGAGGCAAGAGAATCGCATAAGCCCAAAAGTTTGAGGTTGCTCTGAGCTGTGACGCCATGGCACTCTACCAGGGTTGACATAGTGAGACTCTGTCTCAAAAGAAAAAAGAAAGAAACAGGAAGCAGAACATTCAACAGTGTCATCTTGGAGACCCAGGCTTCATCCTTATCTGACACTCAGAAAGAAGCAAATTGTCGTTCAGGCTGTTTTAACAATAATGTAGACTGGGTGGTTTATAAACAACAGATATGCTATTTCTCACATTTCTGAGAGACTGAAAAGTCCAAGGTCAAGTTCCAGATTCTGTATCTGGTGAGGACCTTTTTTCTGGTTCAGGTTCACAGACAGCTGTCTTCACATGGCAGAGGAGCTAGGCAGCTCTCTGGGGTATCTTTATGAACTGATCATCTCTCAGAGGTATTACCTCCAAATATCACCACATTAGGAAATAGATTTCAACATTAGAAGTTTGGGAGAATATAAACATTCAGTATATAGCACAGCTGAAGAGGACTGGCCTTTCTTCAAGTCATTCTGCATATTAGAACAGCAGGCAGGTTGTATTGCTCAATTAATAGGTCTGGGCTATAGCAATTCTTTCTTTTTTTTTTTTTCTTTTTGAGACAGGATCTCATTAACTTGAATTCTTGGGCTCAAATGATTCCCCCTACCTTAGCCT